ATTGTTTCAAATTTGGCATTTGAAGTTTGTAAGATATACTACAGCATAAAACAGAAAATGGGCCATGTAGATCCACGTCTTCGTATAGACCCCATGTAACGGTACCCCCGATATTCGGTATTTTGATGATTTTAGAGACATTATTTACCAGAACTATTTCAAATTTGGTATTTAAAGTTCGTAATTAATATTATAGCCTATGACATAAAATTGTCTGTGCAGGTCCACGCCTTCGTATAGCCCCCATATAACGGTACCCCCCGATATTTGGTATTTTCATGATTTTAGCAACATTATTTACCGGAATTGTTTCAAATTTAGCATTTGAAGTTCGTAATGGATATTACAGCCTATGACAGAAAATTGTCTGTGCAGATCCACGTTTTATAACCACCATGGTACCTCCCTCTATTCGGTATTTTGATGCTTTTAGCTACATTATAAATAGATTTTTTTCAAGTTTCGCATTTGAATATTGTAATAGCTGGTGACAAAAGTTGCCGATGCAGGTCCACGTCGTCGTATAGATCCTAATATACGGCTACATTAGGTATTTTCAAGATTTTAACAGAATTTTTAACGGATTTTATTTTTTTGAAAATTGTTAAATTTGTACACGTTATGATTTTTAACCAACGTAGAGGTTCATTGAATAAATGAAAAAAGTTTCATTGAGTTTCATTAATGTAAAATTAAAGAAATTGTTCATTAATATTATGAAAATTCTTGATTGATTCCGTGAAACACATTCATTAATGCAATAACATTTCTTCATTAATACAATGAAAGATATTCTTGAATGCAGTGAAAAACATTCTTTATTTCAATGAAAAAGTTTTGTGAAAGTAAAGAAATTTACTCATTTCTGTAATGAAAAACATTCATTCATGCAGGCGGGTCAGGTACGAAGCTATATCGATCCACGATATCGTATATGACCCATATAATGGTACCTCCCGATATTCGGTATTTTGATTATTTTTCAACAGATTTGTCCAAAAATTCGTATTTGTAGTTCGTAATGGGTTCTAGCTTCTGAGGCGGAACATTGTTGATATAGGTCTATGTCTTCGTATAGCCACATATTTCAATGAAATTGCTTCAAATTTCGTATTCGAAAAATACTTTTGCAGGTCGAGATCTTCGTATCCTCCATATAACTTTGCCGTTTTTTACTTCTTAATACCTACACCACACTGTGGTACAGGGCATGGTCCAAATATAAGGTCTCCCTTCGAGCGAATTAATCTAAAAACAGCAGTTTTTATCAGATATACAAATTGAAATCTTGCTTATGAAAGATGATTTTTGGGATATGGTTTCCAAAGAAAAACCTGCTAATAAAAGGCACCAAAGCTCGAGCTGCCCTATGATTTTGGAAAAGACTTCCAATTGGTGTATCTTGGCAAATCATATTCAAATGGCATATTTATTGGGAAGCCATCCATATTGTTACAATTCTATAACTACGGCTTTAGCAGTTCGGGCGGATTCGGACTTGACTCAAGATCTTGTTAAAGAGAAGCTGATTCAGGAACAGAAACATAGGCAAGAGGAGGATCAACTTTAGACCTAAGAACTTACGAGCAACCGTTAAACATGGAAGCGGATCAGTCATGGTGTGGTGGTGTATGTCCGCAAGTGGTGTTGGAAAACTGAAGTTTATCGAAGGAACAATGAATGCGCAAATGTATTTATATATTCTCAAGGAGGAGTTTGTTTCTAGCATCGAAATACTACACCTAGATGGCGGCTACACCTTCATGCATGACAATGATCCCAAGCATTCTTCATTAATAGTCAAAGAATGGCTATTATATAACGTTAGCTCAAAGTTAGAGCATCCTCCTCAATCTCCGGACCTGAATGTTGTTGAACATTTATGGACTTATTTAAAGCAAAAGGTCCAAAAAGCTAATCCACCATCTGTCGCTCAACTGAAGACAATTTTAAAGCAGGAATGGGGAAAAGTATCACCAGATTTTACAAAAAAAAAAAAAAAAAATAGCTTACTCCATGCCAAAGAAACTAAAGGAGGTGATTCAGTGCAAAGTAGGACCAACCAGCTACTAAACCATTAAGGAGGAAGTACTTTCTACAACTGTTTGTAGACTTTTGTTGTGATACAAAAATAATAAAAATTTAATTTTTATGTGTCAAAAGTTTAACATTAAAGAATGAATTAATATTTTTATTTTTTTAATTTTCTAACGCATAGTTAAATAATAAAAAAAGATATAAATAATAAAATTCGTTTAATTTTTTTTTTAACAAAATAATAAAACATATCGTTTATAGACTTTAGTGGTATAGTGTATATTCTTTTTCATTCAAATCAATATTCGTTACATTTATTCCGTTAAAGTTTAAATTTTTTTTAATATCAATAAGAAAAACAGTGTAAAGCAACAATGAAAATATCAATAATTTTCATTGAAAAAAAAAATTGTGTGCAGACGCCGATGAAAATGGGAAAAAATTTTCAATGAAAATTTTCATAGTCTGGCATCCCAGCTAACAATTTTTTCCGAGGGATCTGATGTCCGATTTTTTGTCGAGATTTTCTGCCGTTTCTTCAGAAAAGTTTCCTAGTAATCTGCACATACTCGTTTCTTTTGTTTTGTTTGAACAAAACAAAGCAAAAGAGAGAAAAAAACAGCGTATACAGAGAGTTAACTCTTATTTGGCGTGAATTTCTAATGTTACTCCAGAAAAGTTTCCGAGTAATCTGCACATACTCGTTTCTTTTGTTTCATTTGAAAAAAAAAACACAAAAATTCCTACATCAGCAGAGAGTTACCTTTTTTCTGTTAAGATTTTTTTACCGTTCCTTTCGAAAAGTTTCCGAGTACTCTGCACATGCTCGGTTCAAATTATTTGAAGAATTTTGTGTATACAATTTTTCTTTTTGGTTTTTTGATTATGATCAGTTTGTCGTCAGAATTTAAACGAAGCACGTGGGCAGTGAGTTGCATTAAAAAAGTTTTAATTTAAAGTGAAAAAAGTCATAATTATAAGGTAAGTCATTCAAATTTAACTAAAGGTTTGTATCCTTGTGTTTTAAACTCTTTGATAATGTAAATCATATTTTTTCATTTTTTATTATTTAGATGCAGCATTGGAACATATTCCGGGAACTATGGGAAGTACCATAGAAACCCATATTTATTATATATTTTTTTATTATATTTTAATTTCTTTATTCATTAAATTTCACAAAAAGACTGAATAAAAATGATCTATTATTAAATTAAAATATATATACAGAATCAATTATTTAAAAAATTAGATAAATTTTAGTATTTCAGTGTTTCGATTACAACTACAGAATAAATTCAGATTTTTTTCCGAATTTCGTATCAAACATCCGAAAATTTTCCGAATTTCGTATCAAACATCCTATATTTCTCCGAATTTTCCTTTTTTCTTTGCCGAATTCTATACGATTTCGCCCCGAAACTCTTACGTTCTTTCAGAATTTTTTCCGCAAAATCTTTCAGAATCTTGGGCAATCTCACACAATTTTTTTCCGATTTCTTTCCGAATTCGACATCAGAGTCGGAAACTTGTGCAGAGTTTTTTTCCGAATTCGGAAGAAAATCGGAAAAAAATGTTTGCTGGGATAAGACATACACATATTGTGTATGTGTGCATTGTTTTGAATAAAAAATACAAAAATTTTAAATTATTTCTAATTTGGTTGCTAAATAAATTAAAAATTTCGAGGAAGTGGGTAACAAATTGTACAATTTTGTGATAAAACTGTATTGTGCTGCCATTTTAGATTCAATCTTGTGGAATAACTCCGGGCTTAACTCTAGTTTAGTAAAAACTCTTCAGTTTTTTGAGTGGTAGGTTTTTTCACTATGATCCCGGGAAACTATTTTTTTCTTTGGAACGGAAAAGGTATTAGCACAAATTGTATCATTTTGGAAAGGTAAGAGTGTCAGCAATAATTTGGCATCAATTTGGTTGACACCCACAACGATACCTATATTGTCTATATCGGTTGAGTGGATCCGGGTCCGTCCCCCAAGAAAAAAAATAGTTTCTTGGGATAAGGGTAAAAATAACTACCTCTGGAAAAAATTTCGAAAAAATCGAAGAGCTTTTACTAAACTAAAGTTGTCCTAACTCCATTCTTGTTTCGCGGCTATATCCCAATATTAGAATTTTGTTAAAAAAAGATAAAAATAACCAAAGCCAACTGTTGCATATTTCAAAGACTATGTAACACTGTAAGATTCCAGCACAGAGTTGTCTTTTTCTAGTTTCTTTGAAGTTGAGCAACCTTTCTTATTGAGCCATGATCATATCTCTCTCGTTTCCTTTTGTATTTTACAAAGAAATGCAAACCTTCATACAACCATGTACAACAGTGGAAATAAAGTTAATTGTCTTAAAATTTTGTGTATTTCTGATGACTGCAAAGCTTGAGGATGCCCATAGAGTAATAGGTTAAAGATAATACCAACAACAATTTTCGGTCCCATCTTCTGTAGTAAATTTTCAAATAATCGTGATTATCTTGCAAACATCTCTCAACTACAGTTAATAAACTTAGGTCAAACAGCTACAACAGACATTAGAGTACGTTTACGTTGTAAAGGATTTAGAAAACCCAGTCGAGTGTGCAATTTTTACACTTGAAGAATTTGACACTTCATATGTAAAAGTCTTTATGACTGATAGCAGCTTAAGTTTATTGTCAAATTGTTGTCAAAGGTAGTCTTCTTGACCGACCTTAACATGGTAGAAGTATACAGGTACATGCATCAACGATTTGGAACATTGATATGTCAAAATTCTTAAAATGTTTTGTCAAAAAGTCGATTTTTATATGTTTTCTTATGGAATGCAAATCGGAGGTTGTTATGATTTTTTTTAAATTTTTTGAAAATTTCAATAATTTTTCATTCAACGTTTACGATTCCAAAATCGGGTTGATAGTTTATTTTTATCCAGCAGTTGTGTCGATGCGACTACCTGTATTCTTCTAACATGGACCTTATATAGCCCTTGATTCTAAAGGTTGAATTTTAATCTTCGAAAGTCGACATACACGTCCCTATACCCATGCATAAACGTACTAGCCGAAACGGAACTAAAATATCTGCATTAAAGTGGTTAACATAAATTGGTGAGTTTGAAAATATTGCAATTAAATGAATTTTATCAATAATATTTTATAATATTAAATTACATATTTTTGTTTTTTATTCCCCTCAAAAGTACATCCACAAATTCACATATTTATATTTTTTAATTTGCTTACATGTTCCACTAACGTGGCACATTGTTACATTATTAATTCATTTCAGGTTTCTGACTGGATCATCAAAATGCATTTTCTTACAGCTGCTGAAGTCCGCCAAGCCTACTTGGACTTTTTTAAGGAGAAAAATCATATTTATGTGCATTCATCCAGTACTATTCCTTTGGATGACCCAACGCTGCTTTTCGCAAATGCTGGAATGAATCAGTTTAAACCTATTTTCTTAGGAACAGCAGATCCCAATAGTGACATGTCAAAGTGGCTTCGTGTAGCCAATAGTCAAAAATGTATTCGTGCAGGTGGTAAACACAACGATTTAGACGATGTTGGTAAAGATGTTTATCATCACACGTTCTTCGAAATGTTGGGAAATTGGTCCTTTGGTGATTATTTCAAAAAGGAAATATGTGCCTGGGCTTGGGAGTTTTTAACGGAGCGATTAGGATTGGATAAGGATCGATTGTATGTGACGTACTTTGGTGGAGATGAAACAAGTGGTTTGGAGCCAGACTTAGAATGCAAGCAAATATGGATGAATTTAGGATTAAAAGCTGAACATATCATACCAGGCAATATGAAAGATAACTTTTGGGAAATGGGGGAGACGGGGCCTTGTGGTCCATGTTCCGAATTACATTTTGATCGTATAGGTGGTCGTAGTGTCCCCGAGCTTGTAAACATGGATGACCCCGATGTATTGGAAATATGGAATTTAGTCTTCATTCAATTTAATCGAGAACAAGATGGGTCCTTGAAACCATTGCCCAAAAAGCACATTGACTGTGGTATGGGCTTTGAGCGTTTGGTTTCAGTCATTCAAAATAAACGTTCAAACTACGACACTGACATATTTGTACCTCTTTTTGACGCTATTCATGTAGGAACAGGATGTGCTCCATATGGAGGTAAAGTTGGAGCAGAAGATGTTACCGGCGTAGATATGGCCTATCGAGTTTTGGCTGATCATGCAAGAACTCTAACCATTGCTTTAGCCGATGGAGGAGTTCCCGACAATTCCGGCCGGGGTTATGTGCTACGTCGAATTTTGCGCCGTGCCGTTAGGTAAGTGTAAAATGATTAAATTTATATTGTTGAGACACAACTGGGGTCTAACGCTTACATTCGATATTTTTAATAATTCTCAATTTGGAGCAATTTCTCCATTAACATGTGTCTAGACTTTGTAGCTTTTGTAAGTTTTCAGATTTTTTTCTCAGTTGTATGTCTAACACCATCTGTGCGATCCATGTTTTTTCTGTACTTTATACTTTGAAAATGTCCCCTCTGGTATATGTTTTACACCGGCTACGCGATCCAATTTCTTCAGAACTTTATACCGTGTTTAAGTAGCCGGCCTTAGACCGGGGCTTGACATCTTTTTGGCGTATGTCCAACATTGGGTGCCCGATCCATAGTTTTTCTGAAGTTTATAACTTTTGTAAGTAGACGAGCTTCGGCCGTGGCTTGTGATTTTCTACTCTATTTTTTTGTATCTGAATTTTCGTATCAAATAACCTGATAAACGGGTATTTCCTTACGAAAAAAAAAAAATGATTGACGTATATTGGTTAAGAATTGAAGAGGGGTGGTACAAGACAAATTGTATCAAATCTGTATTTTTCGACACACTGACTGTCTACTCAATCATGTGCTAAGTATTTAATCGACCTTGGCAACCAACAACAATCCCCAGTTTGATTCATGTGTGCATTTCGACCGGTTCGACCGTTTCATGATCGACTCGAAAATATGCATGGTGCTCTCCAAAAAGCAATATGTCGACAATGACATCAAACCATTAGTCTTTTGTTCGTGTGCTTAAATTGAGTAAATGTGTGTTTACTACGACTGTAGTGTAACCTACCAAGTCAACTGGAGATCAACCATTGGTGGTTTCTTAAGAAACTAACTATAAGTTAAATATGAAATAACTATAAGTTAATTGAAAAATCATATAGAAGTCAAACAATTTGAACTCAAAAACATACGTTTTGGTATAACCCTTATATGAAGGCGAACATTTGAACATTGAAATGGCGAACACAAATCTACTTCAACCGACTATCTTGCAAGAAAAACACCTAAATATAAGAAAAAAAGGCGAATCAATTCAAGTACATTGCAATTTATGAAAATAAATGAAATAAACGTTAGCGATTGTTTCGTTCTGTATTTTCTCGGAACAAAACCGCAAACGATACAGCTCGGCAACTCACATTCGAAGTACATTCAAGCATTGTTCGTGTGCTTCTGGCATTAAAATGTTTGTTGTTTTGTTTTGCTTGGTAGAAAACGATTAAAAAAATGAAAGCTTGTGACTTCGTGTGAGCAGTATGTTAATCGTTTCGGTTTTTCTACGTTGCTCCATTCAAATTATAACACAAAGTTTCCCTATTGCTTAGACCAGCAATAAGCCTCGCCAAACAACTGATTGAACATATAAAACAAATCAGACTTTTTTATACTTAATATAATGAAAATCTAACTATAGAGTTATTCAAATCTGACCTAAAAAAGTGGTCGTGCTGCACGAGTGCTAAGACGTTAGTGCTACAGTTCGCCAGACTTAACCATAGTGTATAGCCTATAATTTCTCTTGATTCGTATTTATTAGGAGGTCAAATTTCCGCACTTTCCTTAACCACGGGAAAGATTTCACAAACATTCTCTTCAGGTAAATACCCAAAACCTCTGCTGTTCGGGTTGCTGAAAGTATTTTCTGAGGCATCATCAATTCTGTAGCCGCACGCTATATACCTGCTGATCGAATTCCGGATATAAGACAAAATTTCCCAGCAGGACTAGCAAATGCAGGTCAATTTCGCTTTTGTCACCAGTACAAAGAATCAGCATCAAAGGAGTCTTTGTACTGGTGGCTAACCATTGACCAGTGGCTAACCATTGACACAAACAACCTTGCACGCCATATCAATACAAAACAGTCGGCGATTAAACCAAAACTAGCCGTGTCATAGAACTGTATTGGTAGCCCTTGATTAATCAAAGGCGTTTGATACAGTCGTCACACTTTTAGAAGATGTAGAGAGGGCTACAAATCAGCCAAGTTTGAAGTGTTGGATAATCAACTGTATGTGTGGACGCCATTCGGGAGCGGAATTCTGGAACAAGAATTAAGGCTATCGTGGAGTGAAACAGGGAGCTCTCCAAAGTGAGATGTCTCCGGAACTGTTTAACCTTTACCTTTCCGGAATACCTCATTCTCCAGACGGCATTGCTATCGTTACGTATGCAGGTTGTACATGTGTGTAAGGTCGAACACCTATCTCGCGGAGTTTTCGGCCTACTTACACGGGAGGAATATGAAAATATCCGCCACTAAATCAACGGCCAAACTGTTTACCACATGGTCTGCGGAGATGAAATCAAAGCTGAATGTGCTGGTCAAGGGAAAGATAATAGCGAGCACGAGCTACCCAAGATACTAGGGGTCACGTTCCACAGCATGTTCAAGTCGTACGCGCAAGCCAAGCGACAAACCAAAATAAAAAGTAGGAACAAAGCGCTAGCCGGCAGCACTTGGGGTGCGGACAAGGAGACCTTGTTCATCTCATATAACCCCATAAGTCGGTCCGTGGTCAGCTAAACGGCCCAATCTGCTCTGCGGACATAAGTGCTACACAGTGAAAGGCTTTCCAGACATGCCAGAATACTGCCCCAAGAACTGTGGCAGGGTGCCTTCTCATGACACCAGTGTCAATAATTATAGTATTAATGACGTCGTCGGATTCGAGTTAGTTTCACTCTATGAGCGAAATCGAGCGAGTTTTTCGAAGGTCTGAAGTGGGTTGGGTTTGGCTGACAGTTAAAGAGGTGCTGAACGTAATTGCCCCAAACTATAGGTGATGGCATCTGTGACTACATCAGTATGAATACCACTCAGACCTGCCTGATAGGCTTCTTGATCTAGAGACTCTCTCTTTCTTTCTCTTGATCTAGAGGCTCTTTCACCCTCTCTACATCATGAATGTCCTTCCTGACACGCATGGGTTGGGGGAGTTGTATCCACCATATTATGGTTGGGATGACTCCAACGATAACACCCAAACAGGTGCTGCAACGAAAGCATATGATTATGCTGACGTACGGGAATGAGTTTCGCCCACTCATCTACATGGTTTACAGGTGTCATGAGGGGGCACCCTGTCGCAGTTCTGGCAGGTCTGGATGTCCTTCCATGCTACTGCGTAGTATTAGTATTCGCAGACCATACTGGAGCCGCATCGCTGACCACATACCGACCTATCGGGTTATAAGAGGTCAACAAGGTTTCCTTGTTCGCACCCAAAGTGCTGCCGGCTAACACGGCTGTTCTATGACACGGATCGTTTTGGTTCAATCCTCTAATATGTGTGGAAATTGCGTGCAATGCTGTTGTGGACGGAATCTGTGCTGCGGTTTGGCAACTGGATAATTTCCTCTAATGCTGGGTAGGAGTAAAGCCTCAAGGGTCTGAGCTACTGGCGAAGGGAAGTTGGCCTGTGTTGTTTGCCTTTGCCGGCTTCAGCAGCGGGTCCATTGGGCACATTTTCCAGGCGTCGGGAACTATGTGTGTGGCTAGGTTGAGAACTTTCGTTAGGTACTCACTCGAACCCTGGAAAAAAGGATGATAGGACCTCAGTCACTATGGTTGTCTTCCGAACTGTGACACTCTCCTCTTATTCGGGTGGGGGCATCCTCTTTTACCGTGCAGAATGTGGAGTTGGCACTTTTAGTGCGATCCTTTCCCAATACGTTGTAACCATAACAACGTTTTAGACTGCAACCTACTATGCATGTGCCATCCTAATAAATTATGACAACGCAAAAACCACCGGTCATTGCAATACATTCTGCTGTTTTTTCTTTTTCTTTTTTTTTTGTACACGATTAATCTGTGACCCCGGGCTCCCTCCCTTCAAAGTTCACAGCAACATCACATACACACACAAATCTAATTATTTTCACTCTCTAACAAACTCTTTTGAATGATTCTACTCCCACTCTAATTTTTCAAACAGAAGTGACCTAGGACTGCTCCAACACAAACCAAAAGAGTGAAAAGTAGATTCCGTAAAAAACACTCTTTGAGCTATCCTGCTCACGAGCAAGTTTCGCTCCCGAGTGGAAATGAGCAAATCTGAGCTCTGCCATACTCACTCAGAAGACCTCTGGTTACAACCCATAAAAGTTGCCGAATTTTTGCAACTGGAGTTAGAACCACTCTTTGAGCAATCCTGCTCACGAGCAAGTTTCGCCCCCGAGTGGAAATGTACCGGTACACTACCACTAAAATTTTTTTGGTGTTACTGTACCGGTACAGTGCACTATGTTTGTGTACTGTTTATTTTCGAATTCTGCTTAGTACACGTATCCAAAATCACTTCCTCATAGTAACCCTACTTCCCAAATTTAATTTTTTTACCAAATGTCAAGATTTTGCCTCAGTCCGTTCAGATATTAACAAATGGTACTAAATTTATTGCTTTTTAGTACTTTTATTACACTTATTTCATTTCACATAATTCAATTCACTGATATTTCGAATTTCCAAAAACTCAGCCTTATATCATCCATACACATTAAAGGGCTGCAAATGTGACAATTTTCTCTATTTATGACATGGAGAGAAAACGCTCGTCGTGTTGTGCCCTGTTTGATCAAACGCATAACAGTACGTGACATCCAACCAAATGCTCGATGTTTCGTCATGTCGGTCACACTCAAACCCATCGTCATAACATGTAATGACCAATAAAAGGGAATGTTGAATAGTGTGTCATACAAAAATGTTCTATCAAAAAAACAACAACAATTATGAAACAACTGCCAACGAAAAAGACACACGCGTGATGAAGGCAAAGCGCAATCGCTACCTGCTTTTCCGATATGTGAAAGAATAATTTTTTTGTAATAATTTCTTGGCGAATACTAAAATATTAAAGGTATTTCTAATTGGTCCACACAAAATTTTCACATTTCGTGGTTATTGACGAAACAATCTAAAATGTTAATCCTTATAAAAAACAATAATCTCCTGAAAAAATTTCTTATTTTGATTATAA